AGGCCTGAAGGGACATCAACAAAAGGAACTAAAGAAATCTGGAAAACCCCGGTCCTGCTCATTTTTCAGACACCCGTATAAGTTAGCAAGGTACACGGCAAAGTAGGAGCAGGAGATTTTTAAAAATCTACAAAGAAGCACCAGAGTGAGAAAGTAATTTAGCTCTATTAGAGCACAACAAAATACTTAAATGAAGATAACAGATCACATCTCAAACCCAGGTCGTTAGCTCTAAGCCAGCCCACACTGGTAACCATCAGAATGCACACAGTAGAAGGGTTCATCTGCTGGCTTACCTGAACCCAACCCATTGCCCCTGCCTAATGGATAACGGCTGAGCCAAGAAACACAAAAGAAATACGAAAGGCATTAAACTCGTATGCTTGCAGCAAAAGACTGAGACGTAAAGGACTCAAGTCGTCCAGGAATGAATTTCAGGTCTCCAAAACATCATTGCTCCCTCTTCATTAAGGAGGAAATATCTCAAAGTGCATTTCCATAACACATTAGCATGTTATATGTTACTGGTCTTCCATTTCCTCCACAGGACAGTGGACAAGAAGGAAAATAATTCACTTTATAATGTATTTTTTTCTTTAGAAACGGCCAACAGTCTTCAGTCAACCCAAAAAAACCACATCAAACTCTTGGATCCCCTCCTCAACGTAGTGTATTAAGTATGGAATTAACTGCACATGCATTTATCTTCTGGGTACCTTATACTCCCTCCTCTTGGAAAACACCCTCCTGCACCGCTGCTGTATCCACACTGGGGTGAAGACAGTCAGGCAACACTCAGGAATATTTTGAGCCAATATAAGCCAAACCAATGCCAAAAAAAGCAGCATTCCACCCACCCAGTCCCTCCCTCATCCCCTTCAACCCACCTCCCCCCCCCTTTTTTTTTTATTTTGCTGGATAAGTTTTACATGAGAAAATTGTTTCAGTTAATTCACCACAAGTGAATTAGAAAATTTAAAAAGCAGGTAGCGCATAGAGAGAGAAATCATCACCCAGCTGCAGAAGAGTGCAGGACTGCTGCTTTTGGCAACAGTACCTGCTTACAGTGGTTTAAAATATTTGGGAAACTACAGACTTAACACAAGGTGTTTCTTTGTGTTGAGACTTGAGAAATATCTGGGGAACAGGCATAAAGCTTATCTATACGTGGATCCAGCCACGAGCACATCTCACTGATGTTAAATGCGTGAATATCACTTTCATGCTGACTGTCCAAGCTACCAGCCATCCTCTCACATACAAATATCAATGTAATTTCACTGAAAGGAGAACAATCATTATTATGTTTGCAGACACATCCTAATGCCTAATTTGAAGTATCAGAGTTCAAAATAAGGCAAAGAGAAAACCTTCGGAAGTCCCAACTGGTCCTGCTTTGAAAGTAGCATCAAACTCGCGGCAGCTTTTGTGAAAGATGCAGCTTTCTCTTCAGAGGTGGTGGTGTTACAAACTTACTTCATCGAACATTTGAGGCTCCTAAAAATCTCTTTTATCTAGCATACTTACACGCTGTAATCTGTTAAATTTTGCTAACTCAAAAGAGATTTAATTCAACCGTACTGTGATCAAAGCAATAAAAGGCAGTACTACAGGAAATCGTAGGAAATAGATGAAATGAGATGATGACTCTTAAAACTGGAAGCAAACTCATGAGGCCACAACAGCTCAACAGAACGCAGAGCAAAATGTGCACCTTGCAGAGTTATGAGCTACCCTCACTGGCAAAGTAGAAAACATGTTTTTACTGCTGTAACAATTGCCCAGCAAAACAATTAAACCTCAGGAAAATGTCCTGGCTGTTATTTTCCTGTTGCTCCTCAGGACCCTCGTGGCATACTAAGCACAATTAACCTGTTAAAGCACACAAAGAAACCTTAAACCAAGCAGACAGGCAGGTAAGCAACAGCGGCCAAGGATTCTCCTTTGCGTGGCAATCGTGCACAGACAGCAAGCTCAGCTCAGCTGTTAGAAAGGTGGACTTGTCCTCGCAAGTAATCTCATAAACCCACTAAAGCTGGCCTCTTCTGTGTAAATATTCCATCAGCTCCCACTTTCAAAACCTCACTGTTCAGACCCCAGGGATCTGAGCTCTATCAACAGCCTTCTAGTGACTACAGAAATCGCTGGCTAATTGCAGTAAGCCCCTTGCCTTCAGAGGGCGATTGCATCTCAGCACCTTCTGTTGATCTGCTTACAGTTTCTACACACTATTTCTGCAGCCCTGCATTCCTATCTACACTGCCTAACGGGAACAAGAGCATACAGAAGAGCAGGGCATTTAACCCTCACCGAGCACATCAGCGGGCGGAACGGCCGGCAGAGCCAGAGGAACCGGGTGCTGAGCCAGCCGAGTTTCCAGGCAGAATACACACGGCAAATTCTGGAGGTACAGCTCTGGCCAGTACCGTAAGGATTGGTGACATCCAGTTATTCGCACATTTCACTGTAGTATTAATGATAACCCGCAGGTGCTTCCTTTAACAGTTACCTACATCCTGGCCCTGGAGCCAACCTCAATCTGCTTCAAATGCTTCAGCCCTGGAGCTGATTTAGAGAAGAATATGGGCATTTTCTTCTAAGTGAGGAACACATTCAAGTGCTCTTTAGTTATTTCATCTTCTTATCAGAGCTAGAAAATACAGCTGCCATCTTCTGCTACCTCAAATGTACATATGTACCTGCTTTCCACCTACAACGCTCCCCCCGGGTTTACTAGAACCTGTAACAATGCCATGGGTGGACGGGAGGCACCAGCTTAGATGAGAAACACTCGGGCTCAAGTGGATCCAACTGTGGAATTCTGACTAGCACAATTATTTAAAAAAAAAAAAAACAAACACTAAAGTAATTCTTATTAAATTTATTGACTTATTATATTTACTAGCAGATACTGTATATATCATCACTTTCTAAATTGTCTGAAGTTAGAAATCAGCTAAGTCCTGAAAAATGTTCCCCTACAGACCACTACTGTAATATGCTCTCACCTCAAAGAGACAAAATACATTCAAAGAAAAAAAAAAAATCTCAGAGGTAAATTAGAGAAAGCTTCAGTTATTTGCTTTGAATGAAAGAAAAAGGTTAAAATCCAAACAGTTTTAGCTGGCTTAAAACAAAACAAAACAGGAAAAAGGAAAAATAGAGCCCCACAGAAGTACATTTTCATACATACTCAGAGCAGCTATCAAAATCCCCAGCTAAAGATATCACAGGATTGTGTACTGCTGTTCTACAAATTTCACTGCTCTTGAACAATTCCCAGTCTGAATTCTATTTTCTTTAACTGACCCTCTGAGAAAGGGTCACAAGCACTCTGTGCTGCCGGCTAATATGGAGCTCACACAGCCCATAAAGGAACTTTTAATGATATTTCTGTTTTATATTGAAGCAAAAATAAATTCATGCACATATTAAGCAATTTTCATAGACTAAGATAAATGTCAAATTCTTTCAACTGAGACATAAAACCACCAAGGAACTGACCGTTTGTGGCACAAGAGAGGCACAATACGAGGTGTTAACTCCAACGTCCTGGACAAATTCCAGCCTGTCTAATTGCAGTCAGCCTTCGAGCTTTTCTTTGCAATTGCACATCGATGCAATATTCCTGCCTACTCCTGGCAGTGCCCTAGCACAGGATTGCCGTTACGTGTTCCTCCACAGTTTCAGACTTCTGTTCTGTATGTTGCTGTGCCTGTGCCCACAAACTTCCTGCTTAAGGACTTCTAGGCTGAACGACGAATATAATTTTTTTTTTTTTCAAGAATATATGAAAAAGGAGTGAGAAAAAAAGGAGCCTGCTTGTTGCTCAGAGTAAGACCAGCTTCCCGAGAAATGGATGGGTTTCCAGTATAGGACAGAACCCAGGAGAACATGTTTTTGTGTCCCCTTTAAAGGCTGAGTAACGCTAAAGCCATGTTCTTCATTTTCCAAGGTGTTTCAAGGTGCTTGTTTTGGTAGCATAACCCGAAGGCGCTAAGATGATGTGGAGAACATACTTTTTGGACAGCTTAATTTCTTCCTTAAATATTGACGTCAAATTTGCTCTCTAGGCAATGACAACAGATTAGATTACTGATACCTTTGGCCAGGCAATGGAAAACCATCTTCTGAAACCCAGCAACGAGCTTCTAACTCTTTGTCAGCAACTTCTGGCACTGTATCGGCCTGAAGAGTTTAAAGTCAAACACACTCTGCTCCTGAGCGCTCCTGCCCAGCTTGCACAGAAACTCTCTAAACCATCATAAAGCAAGACAGTTAACAAGTTTGGTTTTATTAGTAAAGCAAAACTATTTTTTTTTATATTTTGACACAAAGAAAATTAACTGATTATGAGTGAAAATCATCTGCAGGCTTTTATATAGTAAAAAAATCAGAACCAGCTGCTTGGTGCAGAAGGTTAATTAATACTCCAGTGTTTCTTCTTAACAGAAGTGGGTTCAGACACTTAAACTTTTTTCTTTAAAGAAAAAAAATACCACAGAAAAACTTTGATCATCAGTTTCTGTGTAAGAGAAATTACATAGAAATAACACGGATAAAATTTCAAGCACAGGAATAATTACCTATTTCATCAGAATGACATCAATGAGCCTTGCGGATTCTTTAAGATCTTCAGTATTTCCACTGCAGTTATTAATTTTTAAGAGCACTAAACTCACACTAAATTCAACAGAAATAAAGTGTGTGTGCGCATGCATGCATGAAAAAACAAATAAATATATAAACAAGCAAACAATTTAGTGTGTGCAACAGCAAAAGTTGAAAGTTCGCATTTCACTGCCAGGACATGAAATGAACTGCTAGTTATTTTGCCAGTTGTCATAAAATATATCAGCTTCATCTGTGCAAGTCACCAGCACAACACATACACACACACAGAATTCTTACCAAGTTTCATAGCACATACCTTTTATATGAGGAAAAAACCCCACAAACCCACAATTTGTTTTATGAGTGAATCAAACGAATTTACTTACCACAGCTGGGGGATCATTCCATTCTTCATAAGAAATGGCAGCATATGGGTAAATTCTGTCATTGATAATCTGAAGAGTAGCAAGAGCAATTGCCTTCATGGATCGAAAATATGCTTCCCAGAACCACCTTGCCTGTAAAGAGAGTAAAATTCACTTTCACACTGCATAGATCCAGTGCTCAATAATCAATTTTGGCTTGCCATGCACAGTCTGTTCCATGCAGCCTGCAAGTCAGGTGGAAATTAAATTTGGAGGCATGTTTATTGGAGTTAGGATATTTCCATAGAGCCTGAAGGCTTCAAACTCAACCCCACCTCCCCAAAAAAACAGGATTTACAGCCAATAAAAAGAAGCTGCAGCATCACTTTGCACGTGATTAAACAGATTGAGAATACTTGAAGGAATCACCTACTTTCACACTTTCATCATATGTTTTCCTCTTGAAAAATACCAAAAGCAGTTTGACCATAGAACAGAAGAAACTTCTGTGATGCTCAATTTTTCCAAGGCAGAGGAAAGCACAGTGCAGCTAAATAGCCAAATAACAGCATGCAGCCTAAAAGGTGGGACTTAAAAGTCACCTTTTAACATCTCTATTAGAGACAGCTGACCAGCTGGAGAATTCCAGTACTCATGAACCCTAATAAGCTAATACCTTCCCATGTCTTCCAAAACCCAAATATTATTTACACAATATTAAGATTTTTACATAAAAGAAGATGCATGTGCCAATTTGTTACAATTGTTAATCTAGGCTAATTTACAACATGGGCAGTGTAAAACTCCTGACACGGTGGATGTGATTTTCTTACACACTGCAGTTCACAGGTGAGATGTTTTCAGGCTAAGGTCCTGTATGGCAAGTTTTATCCTTGTCCCAGTTTCTATGTAAGACAGAAATGCTGCAAGAAAAGCAGGGATTTGGAAATGAAAATGTTGACTGATCTGATTCTCTGTTAGAGACATAAACATACTTTTTCAAACACCTAGGACCATCAAATGATCCTGCAGGACTCCATCCAACCCAGAAGGAAACGCACTTTGCCAATAAACATAGTCCAAGTGTTTTGGCCCAAGAGATGGGAATATTTCAGCCTAATTTTTCTTCAGGGAACTCCAGCACCTTGAAGTGTCCAGGAGGAGACTCAATTTGCAGTCTCCCTGCGATTTGGTATCAACTATAAGAGTACGAGTTTGCACCTAGGTCGTAGAACAATTAAAACAAAAGAGAATTTTTTTTTCTAAAAGATTGGAAGCTTAAGAAGCTTTCAGAGCCAGAACACAACTGAAGAAAAAGTACAAATTGGGGCAAGTGCTATGCTACTCTTGCTACTGATTTCTTCGACAGCCAAAAGGCTCTAAAGACAGGCTGGTTTTAATCCCGTGCCATGAGAATATTAAATAATATTACTTAAAATATTAAGATACTGAAGGAATACCAAGTTTTTGGAGGCACAGGCTTTAAGATGAAGCTGTGGATAGTTTGTAAAACGGATACTTCACAATAGTTCTGTTAAATATTTAAGATGAAAAAATCCATGTTACAATTAAAAAAGCAAACTAGGAAAGAGACAAGTGCTCTCTGGAGCACTACTTTTATTTTGAGAAAACATTAACAACCCCAAGCCTTACTACTTCAGAGTATATCAAAATTTGATGAAGGAGAATGATGAGTATGTTAAAAAATCACACTTGTCTGGAGCTTGTCATCCAGAGAGTGCGCAGAGTAATTTCACTCTAGGATGGAACCACTTCCCTCGCCTTATTTCTCTCCCTGGTAGGAAGGACTTCACAGCTGGATAACACGTCAACTACCAAGAACTAATATTACACCCAACTGTAAAAGCAGAAAAACCATATAAACAGGTAAGAATAAATAATGTCTGCCTTCCTAAAACACCAAAAAGACACTAAATAAAGCAAACACCACATGCTAAAGCAAAGACTTAAGTACTCCTTTCCCTATGCCTCATTTCTTAAGAAAAAAATGTATTATCCAGAACCCAGCAGCAACTGATTCAAAAAGAAAACCAGAAGTAGACTGAGAATTAAAATTGACCAGAACCTCTACATTAAAGTATCCTAAATAAACAAGAGTAAGAACACAGATTTCAAGTTTCATTTTTTCATTAGATAACAGTTTAGAACGACCGCTACAAGCAGCACTAACCAGGAAGGAGAAATTATTTTATGTAGCATTTTAACATACAACTTTATAAAGCAATTATAAAGCTAGTAATTGTGTGAAACACACACAGGACCATGTATTTCACTGTGATTAAATGACAGCAGTCCTATGCTGTTCTAAGATTATTAATACTGTAATATCTATGTTTATCTAGCTTCGTAACAATCAAAACTGTTTTTTCCTCCTTCAGCAAAACTAGGACGGATCTGACCTAGCTTCTCTTTGCTGAAAGAATGCTTGCAATGTCAGGCAAGACTATACCTTTATACCAGAAACAAAGCTGGAGAAGAAGGCAGAGGGAATTTACTTTTTATAGACTAATATTTATGCAATTAATTTTTTGTAAAAAGCTAGAAAATCTTTCCACAGTTGGTTGTAATTTTTTGGAGTTGTGTTTCTTTAAGGCAGAACTCAAAACCTTCCAAGGGGATTTGAAGTCTCCAAACAGATGTTTCAGGGTCTCATTACTTCCTCCCCACCTTGTTTGCTTTTATAAAGCAGAACTGCTTAACATGGCTTGCTAGTGTCTGCTGCTCAGCATGCTACGTTACTAAACATTTTGTGAAAGTTTTCTATTGGGAAGATGTAAGTCAATTCCATTTGAAATGTATTTTCTGCTCCACTTGGTGTGGTTGAAAAGCTTGGGTTGGGATGTCACAAATACCTGGGAGGGATAAAAATCCCATGAACATGTTTGGGATACAGGAGAGAGAAACAACAACAAACAAATAAAGCAAAACAACAACAATTAAAAAAAGAGAGATCTGTTCCTGACTTCTATGCCAACTTTCTGCATATTCTTACACAGTTTTTCTGAGCTGTCCATTTCTCTTTTCCATATTAATGAAATCAGAAGGCTAATGGTTATATAGTCGAGAGCAGCTTGAATACACTGGGGAATGTTTGTAAGGTATTGCAATTGTAACATACTACTTAGAGCTACCGGAAAGCCTTTCAAGATCTTGAAATAAATGATCCATAATTACAGATCTTGTCTTCCACGTAGCATCCATTATACACAGTCTACAACTACGATACGGTCAAGCTACCATTCCTTTCAACTTGAACTGAATGGAACTTGTAGTACTCTAGTAGTCTGCTCAAAGAGGTTGCAGAATTTTCTAAGGAAACACACTGTGTGGACCACAGACTTGTAGCGAATGTTAACTTTGTTGACACCTAAATATTGCTGAGATCCCAGGCGATCTAAATTGTCCCTAGAGATCAAACATGTACTTTGTACAACTGCCAAAACAACACAGATCACAGTATGGGATCTTGTTCTGGGTGCACGGCTTACCAAGAACTGCAAACTGGTATTGAAGAAACACAGCTTCTCTCCCCCTTCTAAATTTCTAGATAAATAGAAAATCTAGGATAGAGCCAAAAGGAAAGACAGAAAAGCATTACTTTCTATAACAGTTCTACCAACGTGCGGAAGAGTCAAATGTAGAGCACTGAATGACTTGACTGAGAATGAGAAATACATGACAGATCTAGTGGGAGGTGTCCCTGTCCACGGCAGGGGGTTGGAACTCAATGATCTTTAAGGTCCCTTCCAACCCCAACCATTCTATGACTCAATGACATTATTGGGTTGCTCAAGGGGTTGGAAGTGACTGAAATCTCTTATAATACAATAGATTCCCCATATAATTAATTTGCCTGAATTAATTTCTCCAGAGAATTTACAAAGCCCAGACAGCCTCACCATGAAAGTCAAAGACTGAAGGAATTGGAGACGAAACGCTCCCCCCTCTCCAAGCAGGGAGCTCTGCAGACCACAGTCACAAACATGAGCATGCCAGTAGGTAGCTCTAAGCTGTTTCTCTTCCCTCCTCCACAGCCCATTTTCAACTGCTGCATCCTCATTAGATCACCCAGGAAAACCCACCACTTTCTGGAAAGGCTAAAATTGCTTAATATAATGTAGAGGTATTAATTCATCACTACAAATACATCTGCACACTTTGAAGAAGAAAATGTTTAGAAACTTTGTGTAGTTTCCTTCCTCAAAACTGTAGACAGTATGGGAAATTTTGCGTTCCTTCAACCAAGTAAGCAAGCATCCAAACCAAAAATTCAATTCCCTTTGTTTTCATTTCCAGGATTTTGTTCAGGTGGACTACAAAGAAACTAAGCTTACAATATTCAGCACATCCTGGTAGAGGCAAGAGCCGGGTATGGAAACGTTTGCAGTTATTTCCATAGGAGACAACAGGCAGCAGCACACAGCAATAGGGCAGCCTGCTCGGAGAAAGTAACATTTATTTAGGTAAGGTGTTATTTTCCTTAGAAATAAACACACTTGGGGGCCTTGCATCTCTTTATAAGCTCTTTACAAGCCAGCAGAGCATCAGGTTACAAAGTCCATTCATATAATGTTTATAAGTCCCAGTGTTAATGCCACTAATGGTGCTCCAGTGGAGAGCGCAAGGCAGATCAACGTAAATCTTTTGATTAGTTCGTGAAAAGAAAAACACTGGGCATGAGGCAAGGAAAAGAATACTTTCTGTAACATTTAGATCAAGGGGGAAACAGTCCATGAAAGGAACTCTTCTAGCCTCCTGCCTTTTCCCAGCCCATGATTTGGTGGGAGTTGGCAAAGTTAGCAAAAAAGGGAAAAAACCAAGATTCGCAGAAGAGTAGTAAAAGTTAACTGCCCATAAACCATCACTTCTCTCAGCTTTTAGGTCAGGCGTCATGATGCTGTGAGATTTTGTCCCACTGCAGGAGTTCAGCACTTCCAAAATGCCTTGAAGAGGTTTACAAGGCCTTGAAATAGAACCATTTCCACACTGGCTGGGGTGACTCTACTTCAGTGCTTTCCCCTCTCCATGGCTCTTGGTGTTCCTGGATTTTACTCCCCGACCAGCTGGGTTAGGGAAGTCTAGCCAAAGAAAAGACCGTGGCCTAGCTGCTGCAGCAGCACTGGCCTGGATGC